ATATTTATTTTTAAGAGCACAATGCTAGCTAAATGATTTTTCCCACTCTATATCAAGGATACATCCAGAAGATGTCCACACAGAGTATCAGAATGAACTAACCTTCAGGCAAAATGCGTCCATCACAAAAGGTTATGGGTTTGCTAAGTTGTCGAGCCACTCCAGGGACTGGGGGATAAAGTCGGAGGCACTCTTTTATACACATGGTGGTATAAGGCATCTTTCCGAGGTCATCCCTGAAGAGATCAAATGAAATTGTGTTTAAACAGATCCTTTCACAGCAGTGTTGACAGACAGCATTAGCAGCTTCCTACCATATAGTCTACTATCATTTCAACTTCTATCATTGATAAAACCTTGTGACAAAAAATCTGGGACCTGATTATGCAGCAGGCCATCTTCTCTGTTATAGATCCCTTTGGATTTTGAGGTCCGTCAGTCAAATCGGTATAGTGCTGCCTACAATGTGCAATGCCCTTGACTCCCAATTTTGGGAGAAAGGCAAGGAACTGATGATGATGTTGGTGATAATAATGATCCATAATACTCATTTTTTTCAACAAGCAAACTTTAAGTTGCAATTTATGCTCAGCACAGGAAAAGTGTCTTCTAAAAAGGAATGAGGAGCCTAAAGTCCTCTAGAAATTGTAGGACTATGAAATAAGCATTTGTCATGATATCTAGACCTGATCCAAGATGGAATTCAACAATGCTGGAGGGTCACAGGTTCAAATTACAAAACTAATGAGACATCAGCAGATCCTGCTGTTATGGGTAGTATGACAAAGACAAAAGAAAGACCAGGACTATAAAACAGACAGATCTTGTTGAAAATGAATGAGTACAATTAGAGAGAAACTCAGTACTAGCAAACCTATAATTAACACAGGATTGGCAATCTGTAATCTATAGTCCATTATTGCTAGCATTTGTACAGAGAAAAGAAGAAAGAAAAGGGAATGACAATGTGGCTTTTGTGATGGACCTACTGAAGCAACTTGATTCTAGACCTTGGAATTAATATGCTTATCCTTCAAATTGCTTTTTAAAAAGGCAAACTGATTTGGACACATTAATTTAGCACTCTCACCACTGAACTGTGTCACGGTCCCCCATAATTTCCTTTATCTCTTCCCTGCATCGTTGTTGGTGTTCTGGGTTGTGAGCCATTGCATATAACATCCAGGTAATCCCACTTGCCGTGGTATCATGCCCTTCAAACATGAATGTGTCCACCTCAGCACGCAAATCTTCTTTAGATAACCCAACTCCATTTTCATCCTTAGGAAACAAGGATATTAGCTACTGAAAAGAGTTCAAGTTGGTTGAAGGTAAATTGGTTCCCATTGTTACAGGGGAACTATCTTTTTCAAGTTGTGTTTACTTTAGAACATTGGTCATTTATTAGTCAAGGCAAACCAAAGTTCAAGTTGCAGATAAATGAAATGGAAGAAATCATTGGCTTGGATTTTCCAGCTGACTTGGCTTCTATCATGAAGTGTGGAGAGGTACCATCTTGTCCTTCATTTCAGGCACGGAAAAGTCATGAATCAACACTGTCTTAGGGTTTGTCTACACTGACTAAAAACCTGAATTAAGCACATGGTAGTCTTTATGATGCACAGGGAATTCAGAAAGTATCTTTATTTATTTTAATTTTTTGCCCTTAATGCAATTTTGCTCCATATTTGCTTCATGTTGTAGCCAACAGTGACAGAGACATAGACAGATAGGGGTTGGCATTTGGGCTCCCATCCAATGGCACTAAGCCAGCTTCAGTATGACTGGGCAGTTTTGCACACTGGTTCTAGCCTATATAATTTGTTAATGTAGAACCAGCCTTAGTGATCTTGGGCATGTCACACTATCACTCTCAGGAGAAGAGAATGTCAAATCCTCTCTGAACAAATTTTGCAAAGAAAACTACAGTATATTCTGGTGTATAAGACTACTTTTTAACCCAAGAAAATCTTCTCAAAAGTCAGGGGTCGTCTTATATGCGGGTGTAGTCTTATGCATGGGAGTCATCTTAACTCTATATTTTAACTGGAAAAGTTGGGGGGTCGTCTTATACGCCCAGTCGTCTTATATGCCGGAATATACGGTACCTCAAAAGTTGACCTTAAGATTGTCATAAGTTGGAAATAACCTGAAGCTATATAACAACAAACTTTAACTGGCAGACTGCTAGGAACGTAGTTAAAGTCTCTGCGCAAAACAACCATGTGTGAACTTTGTGTACAGTGTCCAAAACTGTGATGATTCTCATCCAGTCCACAATTTTCAACTCCTGAAAAATGTGATTTTCAACCATTAAAAATACTTTTCAATATCTTTTTCACACCTAATTCTGCTGCGGAAACAATATCAGATAATTCAAAATCCCCCAATTCTAGGCAGAAATTGGCAAAACATTTCTTTTTATCAAGCCAATGTATACACTGAAAGAAGTATGATGATATTAAATAACTGGTGTCATTGTTGTTTACCTTTCCTTAGGTAGCACACAGTGAATGGTGTCTGTGCTTTTAAGGCTAACATACCTTGGCTGAAAGAAGAATATCCAAAAAATCTAAGTGTCGCTTCTTCTGCATTTTTTTGATCTCTCCTTCCTCCTTGGATGATATTTTTCTTTCTTCTATGACTTTTTCTGCAACAAATGTTAAGAAATTGAGATTTCATGTGTATAACTATAGTGTCCTGATGAAAATCCAATGGATTTGCAAAGACAGCTAGATCTGTTCTAAAGGCTGAGCAGAATTGAAGACACATCACTGTTTCATTTATTTTGTTCTGTTTCACTGTACACTTCAGCAACAATATCTGTCTTCAGGTATGTCACAGGCCTAGGGCCGTGACAACAGTTGGCTTCTTTGGGCATCTGCTGGAGTTTGTACCTCAAAAGCGGGAGGCTACCAATCCTGGGAGCTCTCTGGTCATGTTGTTCACCAACTTCATTTAATGAGGAAGTCATTAGGGAAAAGAGCAAGGCAAAGGAGCAGTATACATCCCCCCTTTTTTCCCAAGACAAATGCTCACTGGGTCAACAAAAAAAAATACAAAGTGACAACTACATGGACAGCTGAAAAGAGAAGATGTACAGAGAAGATTTTCCCTGATATTCATGAATAAGTCTAGAAATTAGACCCAAAAAATCTGGGTCACCTTATTCACAGGTTTTATTTAAAAAGGAAGCATTCTCTTTTCCAAGAAGAATGGCAAAATGCAAACTTTATCTTCATCCTGGGCAAACCTAAAAGAACCAATCCCCTTTACTCTCCCTGGCATGGTGCACTTCTGACTTTTTTGATGTGAAAATTGTGGCAGCAGTGACTGGGGCAATCGGTCCTCTGAAGTCTGTTGAGGCTTTCAGCTTTCCACATATGACCCTCAACATATCCATGCATCATAACAAAAACCATGGTTTTAGCCCCAAATTTGCCCTCAACATATGTATGAAGTCAACTTTTACATGAGCATATTTGGTACTTTCTTGAAATCCCTTGTACCTTCTGAAATTGCTTGAGGGAACTGGGGGAATCTCCAGAACAGAATAAAAGGCAACATAAGGGATTGCAGAGGGGAGAGGAAGATTTGGGAAAAGAAAACCTCCTGCCCTGCTTCTCTAGGGAGGAAATTCTGGTGGAAATCAGCCAATTCCAGGAATGGAAGGATTCATTTTGATTTTACTATCTGTGCAATTGCATTATTCTTTCAGCCTAAATAAGATATGAAGGAATCTTATAGCAGCTTTGAAAAAGATTTTTTTTCAGTACAAACCAACATGGCAACTATTTGGTGAATTTCTTCACAATTTGGGGGGGGGGGGGACTCCTAATCAGAGATATAAAGGATGTTTGCAAATTACCATAATGAGAAAAGGATTTTGACATATTGAGACATTTCATCCAGGAGGAGGTGGAAGAGGAAGAAAAAGAGGAAGGGTAGGAGGAAGAGGAAGGGAAGGGAAGAGGGAAGGTGAAGGGAAAAGGGAAAGGAAGAAAAAAACTCAGATATTTTTCAAACTTGGCAACCTTTTTAGTGACTTTGGAATAAATACCAAATTTTCTGTGCAAAAATGTTGTTAAAAGTTCCTAAAATGTCAAAACATAACAAATTCAGAAAACTTCCCAAATTACACCAAGTGAGGGAAAAACTTTTGAAATCCTTTCTTCTTGCATGTGAGAGTGAAATAAGTAATGGCTCATATTTTTACTTCTCCTGTAAATAAGTAATAAGGAAAATGTGAGTTGATATCACCTGTATGTTTGTGAGCCAGTTTGCAAGCTTTCTGGAACTGGCGTCCAGCTGTAGTGAATGGATAAATGAGATCGCTCCGGTACAAGACGTTACGTACTCTCTGAGTCACCAGATAGGTCAGGTCATAAATAGCTTTGATGTAATTATTCAGTTCTCTAAAAGACAAAGTACACAGCATTTTCAGGGTTAATTATATAAGAATGGACATTGCTACAAGAAAAAAAATGCTCATGAACCTGGAAGTCTGACTGCTGCTCTGGGAACTGAAGGCACATTTCATGATGCTGTCTAGAGTCATCAAGCTGACATGTTCAAACATCTCCAGAGACTTCATGTCATCCTTGACAATGAGCTTCTCCCATTTATCCTAACAAAGAAAATATTTTTTAAAAAATATGATAATTTTAATCTATGCAATGCCATTCAAAGTAAATATACAAGGGGTGGGAAGCAGAGAGAAGAGAATAAATGAAAAGAAGAAAGTAAAACTGGAACTAAAAGTACAACAAAAGCTAAAACACAATATTAAAACTCTGCACTAAAGCTACAAACACTAACTAAAATATTAAACACTAACTCACTAAAATAAAAAGGGCTTTGGTCCCAGAAACCAAATTAATGAGAAAAAAATAGAAAGAAACAAAAAGAAAAAATCATCTGACCAGATTCACAAAGGCTTAATGCAGGGGTCCTCGAACTTTTTAAACAGAGGTCCAGGTCACAGTTCCTCAAACTGTTGGAGGACCGGATTATAATTTGAAAAAAAAATGAATGAATTCCTATGCACACTGCACATATCTTACTTGTAGTGCAAAAAAAAACACTTAAAAACAATACAATAATTAAAATGAAGAACAATTTTAACAAATATAAACTTATTAGTATTTCAATGGGAAGTGTGGCCCTGCTTTTGGCTGATGAGATAGGATTGTTGTTGTTGTTGTTGTTGTGTGCTTTCAAGTCATTTCAGACTTAGGTTGACCCTGAGCAAGGGCCGGGTAAATGACCTTGGAAGGTCGTATTCGGCCCCCGGGCCTTAGTTTGAGGACCCCTGGCTTAATGGATCTGGACCAAACTTGACACACATATCCTTCATTACCTAACTTAAAATATTTGAGAGGTTCAGTTGAGGGAGCTGATAGAGGATGATTTAAGTTAGAGTCTAGTAACATCTGGAGACTCGTGTAAATCTCATCCATGATGGATCTAGCCCAAACTTAGTGCACAAATCTTTCATGATCCAACTGAATGTACTGGTGGGCTTAGGGTTGGACCTGATAGATGATGATGAGAAAACATGTCTCAAATGTTTTAACATTTTCCACTGCTTTTTAACATAATTTAACATAATTTCATTTCAACAAAATTTTACATAACTTGAGTCCAAAAGATTTTGTGTAATTATCACAATAAACCCTAAAATATACTCTTTTTTAAACTTCAGAGATTCTGTCAGCTTGTCTGCTATCTGCCAATGAAGTCCCTAATGCCAAAATAAACAGAAAATAAAGATTAGTGTATTAGCAGTACAAATTAGATGAGATAATTCAGTATCACAGGTCAATATCAGGGCTAGTTTGTCATATGTACACTTCTGTCACACAAGGAAGTTTATCAATTGATAATAGTAATAAAAGATAAGATCATGAGAAAATGCTGTGTAAATGTCTGTGCCGATGGATAACATTGTTTTTTGCTAAATATTTCCCATTTAGCTGCTCTGATTCCCTCCCCAAGGAAGAGAAGTTGGGAAATAAAACAAAGTAAATAAATAAATAAAGTCGGTCTGCATACAAATGGCAAGTTAAATTCTCACCCATTATCCCTGACTTAGTGCTCTCCAAATGTACTGAACTACAAGAGTAGACCAGTCATCTATTCAAACTTACTCCAAAATATCTTGCTTTTCTAAAGGGTAAGAAAGAACAGTTGCAGGACTACTTACCAGCATGCTTTTTGTTGAATCTGCCATCAGGGCTATATATGGTTTCAAAATATCATAATGGAATCCTGGAGTTAAGAGGCGGCGGTGTTGAAACCACTTCGGACCATGTAGGATGAGAAGTCCTTTTCCTATAGGAACAAAGAGCAAAATTTTATTCAGAGCATTTTAGGGCTTAATGATCCATATCTCATGCAAAAAAAGTATGGGATTCGGTAAGGGAAAACCATTTCTAATATTATACCAGGAGATGTGTGACCAAGCAACATCAGCGTGTGGTTAATATACGAGGGTTATCCAGAAAGTAAGGTTACAAAGCATGTAGCTCTCACAGGGAATTTACTAGGGGGGAGTTGATATCACTGTCTTGTAGTGGGAAGCCAGCAGAAGTGAAGAAGGAGGACCAGTCAAATATCTATGACGCAGGCATGAAAAACTTGTCCCATGGATGAAAAAAATGTATGGAACTGAAAATTGGGACTGTCCCTGTCAAATCAGAACTGTTGGAAGTTATTTAATATACAGGCAGTCCCCAAGTTGCAAATAAGGTTCTGCAGATTTGTTCTTAAGTTGATTTAGGATGTAAGTCAGAACAGGTACATTTTTAAAGTGGAACTCCAGATAGATAGATAGATAGATAGATAGATAGATAGATAGATAGATAGAGAGAGAGATAGAGAGAGAGAGAGATAGAGAGAGAGATAGAGAGAGAATCTTTGAGTGGCATAAGGAAAGATTTCCACCCCTGTGGTATTTGTTTTGCTGTTTGTGCCCCTGTTCAGAAGATTTCGCTTCACTTTCTTTCTGTGTGATAATTGAGTTTTGAAAAAATTGGCTTGTTGTGGAAACAAGGATTGGCGAGAAAGCTTCATTGGAGACCCCCTTTCCCCATAATAACCCTTCCTAGTGGTAGATTTCTTTCACTTCCTGTTGTCTCACCTCCATTCTTAGTTATGAGTCATTTGTAAGTGGATATTTGTAACTCGTGGACTGCCTGTAATTTTATCTGTGAGATGGCTTGTATTTCTTCTTTGGAAGAAAGGTGGCATTTAGTTAAATAATGAAGTAGGCTCAGTTGTCGAGTATACCATGTATTTTATATGGAGAAAGTTCATTTCTGGGCATCTAAAAGGCTGAGAAAAGTCCTGTTAACTTTTTGGAGAGCTGGTAGCAGTTAGTGTTAATGATTTTGGACTTGGGCAGATTCTTATGTTCCTAAATATACTTACTTGAGAACTATAAACTGCATAGTTATCCTCTGAGTCCCCAGTGGGAACAATATGAAATGGAAAAGTGTCGGGGGGGGGGGGGGGGCATAGAAGAGAGCCTTCTTGGCTGTGGTGCCCACACCTGTTGAATGCTCTCCCCTTGGAAGCTTGACAGGTGCCAGTGCTAGCTTCTTTCCAGCACCAATTCCAGCCATGGATTTTTATTAAAACCTTTATTGGCCTAATTTAATTCTAAGTATGTGTGTGCTTTTAAAATTGAAATATTTTGGTGTGTAAACCTGCTTTAGCAGGTTTACATGGTTTACTTTGTTATTTTTATGGTATGGGTTATTTGTTAATGTTAATTTTGAATTGTTTACATTTTTAATACTCTTTAGATCTCTAAATAAAAAAGTAGAGAAAGTGGGAAAAGGGGGTGGGACTACAAGGACAAGGAGATGGGAAAATAAATAGGTAGACCAAAATTGGGCAAGGTGGAGAACCTACTTTTGTCAAAACCTTCCCAAATACCAGCACACACTCCAAACACACATTAGGGGCTGCTGTTGGGAAGGCATACACCACCTTCTCCAAGCTATTTGTGAATGAGGAAGCTTTCTTCCAAACCTCTGAACACTTCCTAATGTAAACTGACCGCAGAGCTCTGGGACCCTTTTCCAGCTTAAAAAAATAAATAAAAGCTGGGTGGGGAAAAGTAGGGCCTTCCTTGGTCCAGTGGAGAACAAATGCAAACTTATTTATTTATTTACTATATTTATATCCTGCTCTCTCTCACCTCAAGGGGGACTCAGAGCAGCTTAAAATATGACAATATTCAATGCTGCATATACAATCAAATGAAATACAATGCATCATATACATAAATACAGATTTTTTTGAAAAACATATAAAATACCGTAAGACTGTTAAAACTATGATAACTATTGCAGAGGTCATCATTTGTGCTGCTACAGTTCTAGATCTCAAGCTGTTTCCTTCACCTGAAGTAGACAAAGGACTTCATCCCATATTCTTCAGAGTCCGTTTCCATGCACTTGGGAAATGGGAGTCCCCTCGGAGGCCATTGGATTACATGGGGGCACTTTCAGTGGGACTCTGTGGTGCTCCATTTCCCAAGAGCACGGAAATGGAGCCTGAAGACCTCTATCTAGAAGCTAGTGTCAATCGAGTATTGATAGAAAAATACAGGGTAAGCAGAGAGAAGACAGGCAAAGGCACGGTAAGCACATGGGATGGATGGTCATCCCTGAAGATGGGGGAAGATGGGGGAAGATGGGAGGGAATGGGTTAAAACTGTTTCCTCCGCTTTGCCCGTTCCACTCTCCCTCCATCTGAAGAGGTTCAAAGACTTAAACAGAGGCAATAATGTCTTTATGATTTGCAGAACAATATGAACAGTCTAGAAGCAAAATGAGAAATCACTGATGTTCATATTCCACACCATATAAGATCAACTCCTGAAAATCCCCTTTCTTACCAACACAGATCATATGTATACTGTTTGCATAATTACTTTAGGGATGATGTGGGGCAACTTCAGAAGATAGAATGAAATGAGATCTTAACTTCTGAGGGATTGGTGAAATTCAGCTAGTGGGATCATAGTGCATATGCCTAGTGCAAAACATTTACAGAACATTTTTTTTTTTGCCGTTTATAGTTTTACCTACCAATCCAGGGGAGAAAGAACTTATAGGTGACCATAGACTTGGGATCTGAAAAATATAATGTAAAATATTCTAGAAATAACAAAAACATCAGAACAGAGTCAAAGATAAGTACCATATCTTTGTAACATTGCAATAGTCAAATATGTCTGGGGGGAATCTGACAGATTTGCACAATGCAAATCAGATTGGTTCTGATGCTTCCCAGGCTTTCTTCCAAAGTAACCAGAAGCAATTACTGTTACCCACACCATTTCTTCTGTGTGTCAGAAATATAGGCACTTGTTTCCATATACAGCTTCTCTTTAAATTTCAACTTTGGAAAAATGCTGAAAGAAAATGAGGGAGATTGAATGAAAGTTATCTCTACCTAATTCTGTCACATAGTCTACAAGTGGTTCTGCAATCACTGTGCTTTAGTGGAAAGCTTGCACCTTAGTTTCCTTTTTCCTACTCTGTTCCTGGTCTTTGTGAACACATCACATGGTGAAATTAGTTCCATAGAATGTGAACTGCATTATATACACTGAAGCACATGGTAGAATTGGGAATGGGGGCTACTAAAAAATTCCCAAGATAGAGCTGGGCAACAAGAGGCCAGTTACTTCCTAGGCTGGGTAATTGGTTACTTGATTATTTCTCCTGCTAGCTTCACTTCCCCTTCTTGTTTATGTTGGAGTTTTAAAATACACATATGTTAGAAGGTAAAGCGCAAAGTAAAATGATGAGTCACAGTGACTAAATACGTATAAAGTGCTGAGTCACACTGACTAGGCAAGTGGGTGCTAAACCATGAATGCAGGATTGCATCATTTGTGGGTGTATAAGCAACCTGCCACCACATGGAGATTTGATGGATGGTGGATAGGTGGTGACTGAATGTTGGAGGATCCTAGGAGAGAGCTGTGTATATTTGCTGTAAATAATATCTGTATTGCTGTGACTGAAGATAAAGCCTTCCTGATGGAAAGAAACTGTTGAGTCCTCTGTCTTCTGTTTTCTGCAAGGTCAGCATATAGTTGAATCTTTAATTTTTATTTTATGCCAATGCTCAAAATGGTGATCCTTGGCTGGTTGCATCTGCAAGCAATTAGCTGCCCGCCCAAGTCAAGTTTTCGGCAAAGAAAGAAACAATTGTACTCAAAGGGCACAAATATAGTACCAAACCCTGATACATTGGAGAAAACTGTATCAGATAGTCTAGAATGCACTTCTAACACAAAATAAATGATTAGGGTGAGGAAGGCATCACATAAAAAATCTAAAAAATATATAAGCTTATATCCTATCAATGATGAGCCAGTCTTCTCTATGCAAATAATGAATTTAACTCCTTCCCTACTCATGCTGCAAGTGGTTAATTTGGAGCTTGCATACTCAAAGTATTATTAAGGTGAATCTGACAGATACAATAGGCTTACCTCCACGACCAAAAATAGCTTTGGCATACTCTGGGTGGGAGACCACTAAAACAGCCGAAAAGCCACCAAACCATCTAGTAAAGGCGTAAGGATATTTTTCTGCCCATTCCAGGCTCTTATTGAATTCATTTCCTCGACTGACCTGCAAGGACAGAAACTAGATGAGAAAAACATACCATAAATTCTTCCTAATTATGTAAATTTTGTTTTGTACATAGGTGGCTTGCATGTTCATATAGACTAGTATGCAAACTGGGATTATTATGTAGGCCATTAGGATCTGTTTCTATGAATAACAACATGGAGGAATATTTTCAAGTTTTATGTATCTAAAATATGTATGATTTTTCTTTGATGGTCAACCACAGAAGCAGACAGTTGGGTTTAACAGGATCTCTTTATTTGTCCTACTTTTGATTTGAGTTGGTTGAACCTGAAAGTAGCAACAGCGGGGAGTAACCTGATGCAAGTCCAGGTAACACATGTCTACCCTCAGCCTTCACTTGGGCAAAACACATGAGCCCTGAGGGAAACCTAGTAGTTGGGTTGCTCCCCAGCCAACCACTATGGGTGATTCTACATCATTTTATTTGGTTTATTGTCACATCAGCCTGTGTGTGTCCACAAAATGCAGAGTGCATTCTAAACTTCCCTCCCTGCTAGGGGTAATTGATGGCCTCTGCTCCTACCTGTCACATCCCCTTGTGCACATCTCTTGGGGGTGGGGGGGCTGCACAGCAGTTTGAGGCCAGGTTCCATGGGAAATGTAATGTAAAACTGGTTCTTCCCAAACCGATTCCAAAATGGATTATAGTGTCAGTGTAGAAGTGTCCATAGAGTGGAAGAGATGGCAGGGATTCAACCCCCGGGCATGCAGAAACACACCAATCAGAGCTCCTCTGAAAGATAGAACCCATCTTTTGTTTTAAAACCTCCAAAGGAAACTATGCCACTCTGAAGGCCCTTCCACACAGCCATATATCAAGGCAGAAAATCCCACAATATCTGCTTTGAACTGGATTATCTGAGTCCACACTGCCATATGTTCCAGTTCAAAGCAGAAAATGTGGGATTTTATTCAGCTGCGTGGAAAGAGCATTAGACAGCATATTTCTCTGTCAAACACCTCTTACCAACAGGAAGTTATGCCTAATATTGAGGTGGAATCTCTTTTCCTGAAATGTGAATCTATTGCTCCATCAATGAACTAAGTTGGATACATAATGCTAGTGAACTTGGTGATAAGGCATATCAACTTTACACTTTAATTTTGCACTCTTAACTATGGCTCAGCATAGAAAGCATATATGGGAGTCAGGTTTTTGTCCATTTCTGACCATCCTACTGTTTTCTAGATTTCCCTCTTTCTAATTACTGAGCTTTTTACGGAGCAGTTAAAGGACATCTGTTGAGCAAACCACAGACATTTGCAGCCAGTTGTTCTGTGGGTAATTGGCAATTATATCTTTCTTTGTGCAGCCCCAGTTCAACTCTAAGGCCCTTCCTAGACCATGCTTCTAAACCGCATTCATCATGAGTATCATTGGTCCACAGCATCCTGCCAGGGAACCTTGGAACGTAAGCACAGCTTCACTGGGCTGATTAACCATCTGGCTTTTCCAAAACATTGCTTATATCAGCATCAGTCTTTGATACACATGTCAACAATTCCTCAAGAAATACAAAGAAATCTCATTATTAATCCATAGGTTTGGGGAGGGGGTTAAGGGTTCACACCTTCTTCCCCCCCCCCCTGAAAAATTTCAGGTTCAAAACCTGATTTATTCATGAATTTTAACTGGTTAACCAAATCCCCAAATAAGTCTATGAGAAGCAAAAATTAAATGAGTCCCCCCCAGAACTGCAAACACTACCTGAAGCAAATTTCGACAATTTATTCACACTGTCATTACTTGCAGCAATAGCTGATATAGTGGAAGCAACCAAGCTGGCCCACCCATTACTGACAGGCAAAACCTAAGATATGGGAAGGATTTGAAGCCCTCCATGAAGGAGACAAAATTATTTAATTAAGTCTATATAAAATATAAAATGAACCATACTATTTAAATTATTTTATGTTATGGAACTACTCTTCATGATTCGCTTTAAAAAAATATTCTTGCTATGGCCCAGCCTGTGTGCTTCTACATTTCCCAGATAGCAAGAGGCCCAGGGCAGCGGAAGCGATGGTGGTGGAGGAGGAGGAAGAGAGAAGGGAAATAACATGCTCTAATTATGGACCTTAATAGTCTAAGGAAAGCAAAAATCATTTTTACTGTATGTAATTGTGCAATTTTCCTTAATTTGTTGAGAGCACCATACAATATGTTGCTTTTTCATTGACAAGGAGAATCATTTTTCTTGTCCTAGTTTGTGAAGACAAGGCAAGCAAGGCCCTATACCCTTACCATCTTTTTTTAACCTCTCTTGTCACTTTTCTCACCTGCTTGTTGTTGCCAAAAAACCAGTGGCTTGGAGGGCCTGGAAAGCTTTTCAAGTTTCTGAGCAGCTTCTTTTTCCTCCAGTATAGTTGAAGGGTTTTCAACAGTCCACAGATCAAGATGAATCCAATCAACAGATTTAGAAGTGAAGGTGAGGGGCCTGCTGCTATTATGTCCAGAATGGAAAACATGGTGGCACAGATCCGTCTGTTATCTGAGAGCAGTGTTGCTGCTTGCTTTTTATTTCTCTGGCTGAGTTTCAGAAATCAGCAGCCAGAGACATGCCTCTCACACCTCTGGACACCAATGACTGTGCTGAAATATTTAGCTGATTCCCCTTTCACCTGGAGAGATGTATGGGACAAAGGTCATTAACCTGTTTTCTAAAGTGGAAAGTTTTAAGAGTTCTGGCAATTCAAAGAAATAAACATTACAGCCTATATTCATATGGTGATATGGAGGGATGTTCATATTATGCAGATATCCCAATTAATTCAATAGGGGGGGGTAGTCATGGATGTGTATGCACCCATGTCTTCTTGATTTGAGGATGTTCTCCTAATGTCACTGCCTCTGGATTTGATGTAAAGTGTGTTATGATGACTGGGAGAAAGGTTTTCCTAAGGAAACACACAGTTTGTGCAATATCTGGGACTTAACGTTGTTCTATAGTTGTCTGGCTGACCCTCTTCTTATGCTATTAACTTTGTGAATACCAGAACAATGAATAGTAGGACAACTTCTGCTGAAAGTCAGCACATGTTTGGGTAGTGTAACACTGAACCCCGCCCAGATGATGCTGAAGGAGTTGTGTGTGTGTGTGTGTGTGTGTGTGTGTGTGTTGGGGAAAGGGGTTAATCTTCCAGATTTGCCCACTGAAAATCTCTGTGCAATAGGAGGCATGACATGTGTTTTAGACCCTTGCACAATCCTGGGAAGGGATTGGCTGAGTAGGTAGAAATGGAGGAAATTATTAGATACAGCTTCAGGCACCTTTCTCTTCAAAAATGTTCCTTTTTGTCTTCTTTTGCAGAGTTAACCTTCCTGTCTGGGTGGATTTTTAAAATGTTCAGGTTTTCTTACATGATCTGGACTGACAGAAGCAAGACATGTCAGGTTAAAGCAGAATGAAAGAAGCAAAACATGCCAGATAACACCCCCCCCCCCCAAAAAAAAAAAAAAAACAACCCAATAGCTCCC